AGATCCACAGCCCTGGCTCAGTCACAATCCTGACCAAATCAAAACAAAAGAGGACTTGGGTCACTTCCCTTTAGTATGAAAAGCCCTATTCAAAAATAACTATGATGGCGCCTGCATGACCCAGATGGTTTGTGCAGATCTTTCAAACCAACACTGTAGGTCTCTTTAAATTTCTCAACACCACGTTTTCTAGACTCTCATTACTCAGCCTGAGCCAAATAAACAACTTACAAAAAGATCTCTAGTTATTGAGTTTTTATTTATTTACTGCATTGTTAATGCATTATTTCCTCAGCTGACCTTTCATGTTTCACGACAGATTTGTTTTAATGAAGTGCAGACAAACTTTTGTGGGATGTTAGAGCAGCACCACGGATTGCTTTTTATATACACATCAGCATGATTTCAGATCCACAACGAAGACAAAAAAACGACGCGCTTCCTGAGGGACGGAGAAGAAGAAATGTGAGAAAGAAAAAGGAGCTAAAAGAGAAGAAAGACAGCGGGAATGTTTGAGGCTCAAGTCTTTGCTATTTGAAACTGTGTCTTTACAGCTGGACTCCCGGTTGGCTTTCACAGGCGTTTTATGTATAATTCAGCGCAATGTGCAGAGATAAACCCTCCAATAAAGGCCGCGCTCTCTAAGCTCTTCACAGCACATTACGTTTTATTCATCAAATTAGTTTTAGTTGGTTTGGTATCCCTCGGGCCGTCTTTAAAAGGTTTACATGAAAGGAGGACATTAATTTTTGCCACTAATCAGTGAAGTGACAGCTCCAAGTGACAGCGATGCACTCCTTAGTCGTGGAAAAGGGAAAACTCGCCTTTTCCATCCCCCTCTGTCAGGCATGTTCACATTCCTGTTATCCCTGTGCGCTCCCTGCACCAATCAAAAGAAAGTTACACTTTTCATTACATCCTCAGATATTTATTTTAAAATGATCCCTCTTTTTGATACAAGAATAAAGCAAACTACAAACCATAGTAAGTAGGTCAAAAATGTGAGCAAGCATGCTTCGGCTGCAAGGAATACTGATTAATCACGAGGAATAAGGACATTTCCTCACAGGGAATTTTAGCTTTTGTGAAACTAATTAGTGCACAGAGCTCATAATTAGGGCTAATATTTGTAATCCTCCAAGCTGAGTTCTTTTTAAGGTTCTGAATTGCTAACCAACTCCCTGAAAAGAGGTCGTTTTAAGTACCGTAGTAAAGCCAAACAGCGACCTGGTCTCCACTTCCAACCACAAGTCAGTATTTAATTCTTAATAAATTCATCTAAAGTTGCTTGATCTTATCGATCAACTAAATACTAAGTGATTAGGGTGCATTTTTAAACAACCAGAGATTTCTCTTGTATCAAGAGGATATTTCCATAAAATGATGGGCTCAATATTTCTTTTTACACAATGATGAATTAAAAACAATTACATAATTTCATTTTCATTTATTGTACCAATTATATTTAAATACTGACAGAAATGCGTCAGTACATATTATTGAACTTATTTATAAAAAATATATATGAATTAATAAAAAGATAAAAAAATAGGTGAAACAGTTATGGATTTTAATTTATGAGATGTTAAAACTATTATTAAAAAACAGTGTATGTCCCTCTAACACGTCAGACTATTTGCTAATCCGCTTCAATGAAGTCAACTAGCTGTAATACAGCTCTCTGTTTTTAGTCTAATCCTTCAATCAGTGGTGGAAACACTTTCTACTGCTAGTAGCGCCTTTAAACAGGTGGTTCTGATTGTTCTGAGAGAAATGTTAAATCTTTGCTTCATGTAGTGCATTTACACAAAAACTAGCAAAGGACAAACTTTGAAAACCACCAATCCAGTGTATAGCTGTACCATTTAAAGGCAACTTAAGGTACATTGTGTTATGATTACAAGGATTTACTGACATTAATGTAATATATTACCTGCAGGTATGTTATTTATAATCACCTATGAACTGAAAGTCACAGTCTTTATGTTTACCTTGCCTCAGAAATTGCCATTTTCTAATCACATGGAAGTGGGTTCCCATTTGTGGAGGCAGACATTTTTTTTCGCTACGGCAGCACAGAGCTGACAAACTAGTGACCGTAGAGATCACCATTACGCTCAAATGATACTGCAGCAAGTGAGGCTTATATACAATCCTACACAGACTAATACAATAACATTAATAAAATACTATTTATAAAATTATCTATGTAACTTTCTTACACCAGCCAGGATTGGCAACCACTCAGTCATTAAAGATGACCGATTTCAAGCGCAGGTTGTTGCGTTTTTTTTGGGGTTTTTTATGAATGCTCCATAGCTGGGAAGAGCCAGCCAGCTATGCCGCCCTCTGTGGCTAAGAAACCATAGCAGCAGAGGTGGCAGATAGCCACTACTAGCTCAGCAAGAGAGCTGAGGAGCACAACGGAAACTCAGAGGCCTGTCAGGAAACAGCGCTGATGGCTTGGAAGAGGCAACAGCAGGCCCGGGCTAACTAGATGCTAACCATGGAGGATCGAAGCACAACGGCGGAAGATCTAATTAGTCTGCTGGGCGGAGAGAGGTCCGAAGGTGGGGCAGAGTGGCTGCGGCTTACCATTATTTTAAGGAAAGCTGTTAATATCATTAATATTTCTAACAATTAGGAGAACGGTGTGACATCATATGAATGGCCAGGGTGACAGAGCAGAAAGAGAAAATGGTAGGCCAAGGCTAGCATCTAAAGGCTAACTGCAGGAGATGGAAAGAGGGCCACTGAGGATCAGAGCAGCCTGCAGCCAAAATGAGTAGCAGAGCAGGATTAAAGACGAAACGCACCAAAATTGGAGTGTGTCCTGTTAAACCATTACTAGACTTTAGAAAAACAAGACATTGATGGTCTACAGTAATTATATTTTCACTCCATTTATTTGACACAAATACTGTCATACTAAAGGAAACACAGGGGTATACACAGATATATAAACTAAAAATCTAATCATGGAGAAATGTGTCATCTTAAACTAAACACAAACCAATTTGACCCAGTTTATAATACATCACAGCCAACTTCAGTGTGTATTTGCAGTTAGTACAATTTTTTTGGTGTAAGGAACCCCAGGGGACACAGTCTGTGTTTTGGGCTACTTTGCTCCTTCAGTTCATGGACAAATTGTCCTGATGTCCTTCTCCAGTGTTGCTGAATAAAAGCAATTCTACAACGAACTGAAGTTAATAATAACTCCAGATGGAAGCTGCAGAGAGAGAGAGCAGCATGACCAGGTTTTTGTTTTTAAACAAGGCCAATTTAGCTTTGTATGCCTATTAGTAAATGTGGTCATCTTTATCTGAGATTCAAAACATTTATGTTTTATAGTAGAAGTGTAAAACTCGAGGGCTGAGGGACAAATTTTCAGGATCCTTAGGAGAGATAAAGGCATACATCATGAGTGTAAGTTTGATCAATACTCAATATATCCGGATACAATACTAATGTGGCATGGCATCAATACTAAATACATGTGATTTAAATATTGTTGCTATTATTAATTCAAGATTTCTAGATTATGTGCAAATTAAAATAATAATACCTAAAAATTACCTTAAAATATTTTTAAATATATATTTGTAGCATTTATTAGCACACTTATCTGACTAATACAATCTGTGAATCTGTTAAAGTATGTTAAATTTTGGCATTGAAAAAGGTCAGCTTTTCAAGTTGATGAATATTTCTTTATGCTTTTAATATTTTGGCATCTTTTATTCCCAGCATCTGATATTTTTCAGGGTATCAATATCGAGTTTTAAATAATAGTCTTGTGACAAACCTCATACAAAAGACTAATACCCCATTTACCCTACCCTTGAAAAACCGTGCCGAGACCGGTCCGAGCTCAGTAACTGAGATAACTTATCGTGTGTAAATGGAAAGCAAACTGAACTGAACAGAGCTAGACACAACCGAACCGAGCTAACTGCAGACCAGTTCCAGAGGTGGGCTCGGCTTGGTTTTTCCCTGACTCTGTTCTCTGATTAGAAGAGCGCATGAGCAGAACGCGTCATCTCCATCTGGCTGCACATCCCGATTCACACTCCATTCCAGTAGTTGGCGGTAATGCCCCTCCGGAAGTTGCTTGCCAACCAACACAAAACAGAAGAAGAACAACTATAAACAACAATCGAAATCTTCTCCACACAAAATTTTAAATAATGGTTGCCGTCTTCGCCTGACCCTCCGCAAACACCAAATTACAGCAATAATAATCAAGCATAACTTTCTGAATGTGACGGGCGCCGCCATTTTCATTTGCTTGATTCCCTCCTTCATCTTCTTCTTCTTGTGTTTTATGGCGGTTGGCCAACAACTTTTGGTGCATTACCGCCACCAACAGCTTGATTTCCTCCTTCAATACTGGCAGTAATACCGCAGATCATCACTAGGAGGCGAGGAGTCGAGGAACCGAGATAGCGTGATGTGTAAATGGTCGTCCTGGTTAACTGGTTAACTGATCCGAGCTCAGACCGGTCTCGGCATGGATCGGTTTTTCAAGGGTAGTGTAAATGGGGTATAAAATTGCTAAATGTAAGTTATAACACTAGAGCAAACAAAATGAGGAAATCAAACGTTCAACTAATACAGCTAACAGCCCTTTTGAAGACTTGATCATGCTAAATTGAGTTTGACACCCCTGCTTTACAGAAAAGAAAGCAGAATAGAAAATAATAAAATAGAATGAAATAGACTGAGCTTTTTTTTTCCACAGTGGGGAAATGAAGTTGTGACAGTTGCAAAACAACCAAACAGAAGAAATTTTTAAGGTATATCCGAAAAACCCATGGTAGGTCTAATATTAACACATTGGTTTACACCACACAGATAAGGCTTTATAACGTGAATCAACACATAATGTAAAACAAACTCTACAGCAGAGGAGGAACTAAAAGAAACATGTTTGGGGAAAAAAAATCGTATAGCCCTGAATACATAAACTATGCAGTTGTATGAGAGGAGGGACTTACTTGAGTAGCGAGTGCTTTGGGAAACTGAAGGTACCGTGGGAGATTCGGTCGATAAAGTTCAGCTGGATCCTCTGGATCTGCTCACAGCAAAGCAGGACGAAGTCATACTTGAAGATCAGAAGGGTTTTGTCTGTGATGATGACGAGGCGCTCCTTTTCATTGTTCCAGTGATCAACCCTGAAACAGCATCAATGTTAGTGAAACAGAATTTCAACCCACATCAGAGGCCAGATTGTTTCTGAATGTTCTAGAAACCTTTGAGTTTTGGTCAGCACCACCTTGGGAAAACAATCTTACAAAGGAACTCAAACTCCTAATGGAAACAACTTTATTGAGCTGCTTTTAAGTCTGAATTTTAGATTAAACCTGATTTCTGACATGTAAAGCATGTCAAAAATCAAATCCAACAATGCTAAATCACACCTTATTCCAGAACTAAACTATCAGGAACACACTATGGCCGCTAAATTACACGAACAAATGGAAAAAAAAAATGTTGCTTGTGACCTAAGAAGGCATGCTGCAAGTAATCTACGAAGATTGCAGATGCAAAAGTCGGGACGTGCAAACTGGCTCTGTTCCGCTCTATTTATATAAGCCAAAAAAGAAAAATCAACTACAACACCTAACATCAGACAGTCTGTGTGTAGTTCATGATTATTACATTTCCAAGACCATCATCTTTGGAAATCAACTGTAAAGAAACAGAAATCTACTAAATAACAGCTTGGAATAGATGTATAACGTCATCTTAGTGTTTTCTATCATGCAACGCATGCAGCTGCCTGACGATCAGCAGACAAACATGTTATATTTAGAAGATCAATGGCTTGATACCAGGGTTTTTTCCATCTTGGTCCTAAAGGCACACTGCCTTGCATGTTTTAGATGTTTCCCTGCTTTTACACACCTGATTTCAACTTATGGCTGCTTAACAGGCTTTGCTCCGCTGCAATCATCTGGATAAGGTGCGTTAAAGCTGAAAAACATCTCAAACATGCAGGACAATGCGCCTTGAGGAGCAAGGTTGAAAAATTACTGCACTGGGTTCACTAAAAATGACCCATCCAAACTCATGGAGCCAGAGATGTGCTGAAAAATAGAAAGGAAGTAATCGCTCCCAAATGTGGATCAATACAGTATTAAAGGGCCAATATCATCTAAAATCAACTTCTCTGAGCTTTAACGGAAAAGTCCGGTCACATTACGAATTCAAACTTCTGACGGGACTTTAAATTGGAAATTATTACATACTTTTCAATAAAGGATAAGTGTTTTTAATCAAGAGTAATTTTCATTTGAATGTGCTTTACTGGAGGCATCCATGTTTGTCAAAGAGCACTACTGCCACCTACTGGTGACGTCACAGTGCGGTATCGGCTGTTTTGCAAGTCCCTGTACTGTATCTGGTATTTGTCACAACGCGCTATTACCCATGATGGCGATGACCAGTGCACTATGCGAAGCAGAGAGTAACAGATTAATGATGTGTTTTTTTCTCTGGCCAGAAGTTCGATGACAAATCCGCCCTTCTTCAAGTAGGAAATCCAACGACAAAAGGCTGATTTATACTCAGACCAGGTTGTCTGTGTGTGGGCCGCAGTGAATGCAAATGTGCCCCCGCCCATTTCGCAGACACTCTGCTGCACCTGTCCCAAATTGTAGGTGAGCGCAGACAGTGCCGTAGACAGGAGGCCCCTGATTGGTCAAATCTACATCCGCTCTACACTATGCATATTTCCTGTTTGGTACCTTACTGGCTTGTTTTGTTTGTATAACCGCCATTGTGCAAAAAGACTTGTGAAGTTGGACCAGCTGGAAGAGCAAGGTGCGCGAGAACACTGGGACACTTTTTCCACCTGGATCCCTGCACTTTTTCGCCCTCATGTCCCTCCATTGTTGCACAAACTTGCCTCCACTTCCTTGTGGCCTCGGCTGTATGTAGATCTGCTAGTTCGTGATTGTCCCCTTTTGCGTTATGGCTTGGAATAACATAGCCCAGACCATGCTTCAGTATTGAGCATAAATCAAAAATGTCTGCACCATACCTGCGACAAGCTAACTGCGACACACTGCTGCGGGAGTATAACCAGCCCTAAACTCGTGGAGGAATCATGAATCAGAAAGGTAAAATAACAATTTTTTTTTTCACTTTTTCACTATCTAACTGCCATGAACGTGGGCATTGTCAGTTTAACTATAGCTCTCGGGAATTTCAATGGTGAAGTCCTCTCAAAATCTTAAGTAATTGTTGTTCATTGCAGAAGTGTCTAGTAGTTTCCATTGATTTTGCTTGTGAGAGAATTGCCTGCGGCTTACCGCACCGTGACGTCACTGCCGGAAGATGTCAGGAGTGAAGAATCACCCTGACTCTGAGAACAAAAAAAAAAACACTGTTTATTTTTTACAGAATAATTCATTAAATAACTGTAAAGGTATTAGTTTTGGGTGTGAATAATGACCCATTGGTTATCCCTTGCTGACCAGACTTGTCCCTAAATTGTGTTATGCTATTCCTCCATAAAATCAAGCATTTAACGGTATCTCACTTGATTCATGCATGTCTGAGTAATCCTCATGAACTTTCTAACTGGCAGCCTGTCCCTGTTCTGGAAAACGAGCAGATAGGGCATGTCACACAGAGCTGCCCCCTCCAGGAAGCACCGATATTGACCATGAAGTGCCTGCACTGTAAAAAACACAGCTTTCTCCAATCAGGGGTTCTGTGATGTGAGCCAGAGTGTGATGATTACAGCTCAAAGTTAAGACAAAGTGGCTCTTTTAGCAACTAATCTACACAGTCACTGTCTCAGACTTTACAAGTGGTGGGAAACACAAACATCACAAAATAGGCAGCAGTCAGATAGGAGAGGCGGCTTCGCTTAAAGGTCTTCTTTGAGGTTGGAAGAAAAATAATAATTATTAATACTTATTTCATCCACTGATAATTGACTTTAAAATGCTTGAAAAAAAGATTATACGAGACCTTTAAGCAAAGGCTGCGAATACTTATATAAGACATTCTATCGGTAATAAACCTGATGGGAAAGTTTGAGGAAAGATTAACTTGGTGACAGAACTTTTGCTAATTGGAGGGTGTTAAAATACTTATTTGCAGCAGAAACGTGCAAAAAACATTTTTAAAATAAAAAAATATTGTGATTTTCTTTTTGAATATGTGGACTGAACAGTGGACGTGCACATAAGGTAGAAATGTTTGACCTCTCCATAATTAGTAAGAGGGAAAACATGCAAAAATGTGTTCAAACCCTCATTGCATGCTTGTGTGTGTGTATGTATATATATATATATATATATATATATATATATATATATATATA